CATAGCGTATGTGGCGTCGTGGGGGTGGGGGGGGGGGGGGGGGGCAGAATGTACTACAGGTTTGCAGCAGGGACAGGTAACCGAGGAGAAATACAGAGATGCTGTCTGAGCACTCAGGGACAGGGTTAGAAAAGCCAAAGTTCATCTAGAGTCCAGTCTGGCTAGGGACATGAAAGCAAGGGTTTCTACAAGTACATTCTCAGCAAAAGGAAGCCTAGGGAAAATATGGGCACACTGCTGAATGGGAGTGGGGACCTTGTCACAAAGGACACTGAAAAGGCCAAGGTACAGAATGCCTTCTTTGCCTCAGTCTTTACTGATAAAACCCTGCCTTCAGTGAAGGCCAACTGGAAAGCAGTCAATAGTGGTGGACTCCCAGTTTTATACTAGGCTAAAAAAGTTTAAGATCTTCACAATAGGACAGAGCGCACCCTCAGTATGTCTGCAGATAATACAAAACTGGGAGGAGTGATTGGTATATCACAGGGTTGTAGTACCACTCACAGGACTGCAACACGTTGGAGAAATGGGCCAACAGGAATCTTGTGGAGATCAACAAAAGAAAATGTAATCCTGAACCAGGGGAGGAATAACCCCCATGCAGCAGTACAGGGTGGAGGCCTACCAACTGAAAAGCACCTTGCAGCAAAAGACCTGGGGATCCTGGTGGACATTCACCATGAGCCAGCAAATGCCCTTGAAGCAAAGGCAAACAGCATCCTGGACTGCATTAGGAAGACTGTTGCCAGCAGGTCAATAAAGATGATACTTCTCCTCTGCCCAGTACTAGTGAGACACACTCTGAAATGCTGGGTCTAGTGCTGGGCTCCCCAGTACAAGAGGAATATGAGCTTACTGGAGCAAGTGCAGTGAAGATGCTGAAGGGCTGGGAGCATCTGATGTGCAGGGAGAGGCTGAGGGAGCTGGGACTGTTCAGCCTAGAGAAGAGAAGGCTCAGAGAATCTTATCAATGTGTGTAACGTGAGTAGGGGTAAAGAAGGCAGGGGATGGAAGTGGTAAAGCAGGCAGAGATGTAATCTTCTCAGTGGTATCCAGTGACAGGACAGGAGGCAATGGACACAAACTGAAGTACAGAAAATTCTGTTTAAACATACAAAGAAGCTTTTTTATTGTGCGAATGGTCAAACAGTGGAACATGTTGCCCAGAAAACTCCATGCTTGGAGATGTTCAAAGCCTGGATCGTGCTTTGTGCTGGTGAATAAAATCTACTCAATTGCACAAGAGAAAACAAAGGAAACCCAGCAGTAAATCTGAGCCTATCCCGAATTCAGTGTTAACTATATTGACCAGAAAAAAGGCAATATCGAAGAAAGAATTTGATCATTTTTTGCATTCATATTATGATTATCTTGAAATGAAACTGAAGATGATGGAAATGAGAAGAGAAAGAAAGGGCAATAATATCAGCACACAGAATCAGCCCTCTGTCTGTGTCACAAACAGAACTTCCCTTAGTTTCAAAGGAAATTAGATATGTTCCTAAATCCCTACACAGAAACATTTCCTTTTGACTTCATTAACTTGGTGGCTAGTGGTCACAGACTCCCTCTGCATCCCACAGTAAGAGACTTAGGGAGTCATTAGCGTGCAGCACCTACATGCAGGAGACAGGAGACAAACCCAGCTCATAGGGTTGCTCATTGGGCATTCAGGAATCAGCAAAAACCAGAAACCTACGTTTTTCCTAGACCTCACAGAACAAATAAACATCACTCTGCTTTTATTTTTTTTCTCCTTTTCCTTTTTTCCTCTCTCACCCCACTTCCTCCCTCCTTTCCAAAATCCAAGTATCATGCAGCTCATGGCAGGGCTCAGACTATGTATAGGCTAGCAACAATTAAGGGACTGAATGAACAATGGTAGAGTTTTTAGCAGGCATATCAGGGGATACATCTCATCTAATTTTGGATTTCTAAAAGAACATATGTCTACCTGATTTATAGCACCTACAACACCTGAGTTATCATGGAGTATCTCTTGATATTCAATGGAGAGAAACACCTTTTGGTACATTCTTCTTCTGATTTAATTTAAATGTTTTATTTTGGAATGAAATGAAGTATATCCTCAGAGTGCCTTTCCACAAGCTGTGAAGGTAGTTTAGATGGCTGTCTTGGATGCATAGGCCTATATTTGGACTCCCATCCATCATTTCTGAAATAGAATTTTTGTCACACAAAATACATTTCCCTAGTGCATTATGGCATGTTGTGACACAAAGATTTGTCACTGCTCATGAGATGACCTGTATGTCTGCTTATGGATTTGCCAGTCATGAGTAATGCTGCCATTTCAGATACATAGGAACAGAACTTTAATACCTTATTCTATTACACAGTCCAGAAAGTAGATGATCAGGGCCTATGTAACGAAAAAAGAAACACTGCTTAGCAGTAACCATGCTGTCTTCCTATTCTTGGAATATCCAGATTAATTCATATATATCAATAGTTTACTTTTGCTTTTTATACATATATATATATTTGCATATTTCATAGTCAGGTTCCATATAAGTAAAAATCTCGTTTTGCTTGCCATGATGCAGCTTTCAGGACAAACTTCTTAAGTGCATTCTGTATATCCTGATCTCTTTTTCCTCAGGCTGACAATTGATGCTGAGTGTCAGCTACAGCTACACAACTTCCCAATGGATGCCCATTCCTGCCCCCTGGAATTTTCAAGCTGTAAGTAACATGCTTAGAAATATCCCTTTTCTGACTCACACTGAACCACTTATTATAAATTTGTATTTACACACTTAGAGTCACTGAGGGTTATGTTCTTAACTAGACATACTTCAATGGTTTTCAGTTTTATTTTGACCTTATGTTCAAATACATGAATCATATATGTTCACAAATATAATTCAGCAATGCTATATAAAAATTATACAATTTCTGGGACCTATGTGATTAATTTATGCTGATATCTTAGCACAACAGTAGAAATTTTTACTTTCAGCATCAAAGTCCCATGACCTGACACTTGCTCTGTGCATGGGTGTTGCACTATTTCAATAGTTGGAATCAAGAGTTTGACATTTTGCAGTCAGGTCAAGGTGTGAATTCCTGGTCCAGCTGCAGACTTTTTGGCCATGACTGAAGGATGGGCAAAATTCCATCCTATTGGGTCCACAAAAGTAGAAAACTAATTTTTGAAAAAATTATCTCAAGTGCTATTTTAATTTCTAATAAATATGATTTTATAATAAATAAAATGTGACATTAAGTAAAAGGCACTACTAAGTAACTTGACAAAAACATATCTATAATTCACTTGCAATATGCTTCTCCAGGTTTTTCCAGAAATTGAAAATAGTATTTTTACTCCCCAAAGTACACTAAAATCTTAACTATGAAACAAAGCATTCTGTATTTTCCATTGCAATAAGATGGCTACCCAAGAGAAGAAATCATTTACCAATGGAAGCGCAGCTCAGTGGAGGTGGGGGACACCAGGTCCTGGAGGCTTTACCAGTTCTCCTTTACAGGATTAAGAAATACAACTGAGGTGGTGAAGACTACTTCAGGTAAGACAACTGATCTGTTTACCTTCAGATTCCTTTAGGAAGAAAAAAAGAAAGCTATCTCTGTTTAGAACTTAGCATTGGCACTTCACTGAACAATTACAGGCTTTTAAATACCTGTGGAACCATCCAGGATTTAGTATTTCTGAAAAAGAACTCACAGAAAGAAAATAAGTTCTTGTTTACTGCCCATTCTTGTCCTCCAAGAAATACCTAGAACTGTCAAGAGAAAGCCACTACTACAAGGGGTGGATGGGCAACAGAACTTCCTGTCCTGCTTCAGTGTAGAAAACAGGGCAGCTGAGCCACGAAATGATAACCTGATACTGATTTGAATATTTTACAATCCCCTTCTAACTTCCAGAAGCAGAAAGTAGGTCTGCACAGAAATGAAATTCAAAGTCCCAACCTCTTTACTACGGCAGCATCGAGTTTATTTTGTTCCTTAAAACAGGGCACATTCAACTCTCATTAAAGAGAACAGCCTTACAAATCAGTCTCAGATGATTTTCCTGCATATTTCTATCTCCTTGGAAACAAGTAACAGAATTTAAAATGATAAATGAGGAAGTACTCAGCATTTAATAAAAATAGCAATTTTAACCCTACTAACTAAGCAGGAAAATACATTCTTCTAGACATATATATTGTTTTATTTCTCAGTGGAAAGACAATCAGTAAATATGAGAACGGATGTAGAGAGAAATTGCATATTAATATTATTGTCTGTGCATGATATCCCTTGTCTTTGATTTCTTACTTTCAGAAAGAACAGTGAAATGAAAGCAGTTTTTCTTTTCAGGTTGCCTTTGATTTTTACCTTATTTTATTGTTCTGGCAAATATATTGATTTAAATTCAGACATCTATGTTAATTCTGACTTCAGAAATATCACCATCCGTTTTACTTCTGAAAGGTCAGCATTGTTGTTATATTCAAAAGGAGAGCGAGATATGCTAGAGTTGAGAGGAGCCTGCTGTGCATTATACTGGAGTGCAAACAAAGAGGTTGAGAATTAGTCAAGTTCCAACTCCTGAATCACTGGAAAGTAAGCACCAACGACATGTTTAGTCTTATGAGCAGGGCAAAAATGGAATGAAGCCTCCCAGCTGTAGCCACATTTGCCTTATAGCATCTTCTGCCATTTTAGATGAGAAAGATATTTAGTCAGCTATTCAAGAAAGCATTTGACCTTTCTCATTTTCCCAGGAAAATAAAAATAAAGGTGCAAAAGAGGACAAGAGAGCAGTGTGTATGCAAGCCATAGCTGCTAATAACCGCCATTACACATGACATGGTGGAATTGCTCTCAAAGCAAAAATATAAACAGCAATACTTCTGATCTCAGACTGCCCCTGCAACAGGCAAAGCACAAAAGGCAGCAGTGTACCCATGTGTGTCCTAAGGTCTCATCCTGCCCAGGTTGAAAACTAACTTTATTTCAGCCTTACTTCGAGTATCTTTTATTTGTTCTTTTTCTTTCATCTTCTGCTTGAGCCTTTCTCTAATAATCTTTTTTTTTTTTTTTTTTTTTTTGGCAAGAGATAGAAAGTAAAAAAATCTTAACATGCTACAAGCTTCAGATCCACTGACTCGGCGCATCTTACACTGGCAAATTAAAAGCACTCTTTAATGTTCTGCTAATGTGAAGAAAGTGCACACTGGGAAACAAACAGTAAAACACAAAAAGCAAAAAGATACTTTCCCATGCAAAGAAAACCTTTTCTTTTTTCAGGGGATAGCCATTCAAGCTTGTGGTATTCACTTGTATTGGAGTACTACCATAAGGTTGCATCAGTAGTTTCTAATATAACAACACACACCAGCTCTTTTAATTTGCTTTAAAAAAAAAGTAATTAGCAGCTAGCATGCACTTTAAAGCAGCAAAGAATCACTCTAGTCATCACTTGATTCCTGAGAAATGCTCCTGAAAGCTACTCAGCCTGCTGAGCTGCTTTCAAAGACCTGCTGAGTATAAAAACTTGGAAAAATGTCCTGTCTATATATTTCTTCTGCTGAGTTATCTTATGTTTGATTTTCCTTGCTCCTTTTGTTTTTATGACACAGATATGCAAGAAAACTAGATTTGATTTTGATCTAGGTGCAGTATCTAAATAATTAGAAGGTGGAAAAAAAACCCCCAACAAAATAGGGATTATCATGAATCTAGTCTATGTCCTACAAATATTTTGCTAAAACTGGCAGAACCTAAAGAATGTTCATTACCTTCTTAACATGTGGAGAACTACATTAAGTCCAATATTCCTCAACCAGACCCATACTCTACCTAATTATTCTCTTACGTGCACGCATTTTCAATAGTTTCCCCAAAACACAAGAAAAATATTCCAAGCTTATAGATTTATTAGCAAGTGCAGACTGAGTACACAAGTTAAAATTTTGGATGCCCATATAGCCAAAATAAGTCTTGAGATGTTATGCAACTAATTGCAGTGCTGCGTATAATAAAATTTAGGTACAAACTAGTGACGGTACCACTGCCAATGCTTTGGCGGGGATATGAGCTGAGGTACAGCGGAGGAGGCAATGGAAAGATTAATAAGATGTTGGAAATAGGACTATACTATACTACCAAGAACTCTTCCCCAAAACTAAATTTAGGTGACAACAGGAACTAGAGAAACCTGAACACAAGAAGGGCAAATTAGAGAATACGAGATTGAACAGTTACAGAACAGAAACAGCCTGGGAGTAGTGTTAAAGCATGTGAAACTAGAGTAAATTCCACATCTGCATTTACTCTGTTTCAAAACCAACTCTTGTCTCCAGCTTCATGCCTCCCAGTGACTAACACACTCTAGTCCTTGAGGGCCATGCTTGCTTGGTGACTGGAGCACAGAAGAGAATCAGAAAGCATGGCTGAGACTTGGTCATTAGAAACTCTGTTACTTCTTCTGTCATGCCACAGCTGAACTTTTGAGATCTGGGCTGAGTTATGGGTAGAGAAGAACAAAGATTGTTTTAGTGTAAGCTTCATAAGGTCTGATGGACTTGTGGAAGTGACGACATTTGTCTGCTGCTCCTCCTTTGCATGCACTCCAGAAAGAGCCAGATGTTGGAATTCTGTCCCTGATCAGTTAGCAAATTCTGATAACAGCAGAAAAAAAAAAGTGGAACATTACAAACCATCCTGTTTCTCTTATCTAAAGTGAGTCATCCTGAATTGTCAGATTGTTTCTCTCCAAACTGAACATTCACATGTGACTAATTTTCTTTGAAAGTCACAGACCAAGCAATAAGAAGCGACTTAGCTAATGGAGTCCAGTATCCATTAATAGCAGGGACTGTTAAGAAAAGTTGACTCAACCTTCTGCTCTATGAACATGTCATTAAAATAACTAAATAGTCTGTACATATAATAATATATCACCTATATATATTTTTTCCTTTTCACTACAACCTATGATGTGTAAACAGCGGTGGTTTAGTTTAGATTATTTGCAATATAGTACATGTTAAAACATAATATCATCTGAGTTATATAAACTACTTTGACCTCACACATTTATAAACTGAGAAGTATAAGGCCCCATCCACTGAATAGCAGTGAGATTCTCCAATAAAAAAGGGATGAACAAATGGAAAAGTCTAAAGAATAAAAATTCCCTAACTTCTGAAATGTGGATGGATGCTGCCATGAGCTGTCCTTACAAAGCAAGCATCAGACTTACAAATTCCTACTTCAAACTTTATGCTGAGGTTGCATAGTAAAGTTAGTTGATTTACTGACATATTCAGAGTTCATATTATGCTTAACAATGTCTTTAGTTATTTAAGGGTGCATAATTTATTAGACATATGGTCTATACATGGGACTAGCTGGAAAATGTGGCAGAAAGCAGACACAACATAAAAAGAAAAATAGTTCTATCATAAGAGGCAATAATACAGAGAAGAAAACAAAAAATGACTGCTTTAGCACAGGATGTACTTTTCCATCCTCCATATTGTCATTTATTATTGCATAATACATTTAATTCAAATGAATGTTAGTTATTCTTTTTCCCTTTAAAAACTATTCTGTATCTAATTTCTGACCTTTTATATTCACTGTGGATTAAAAATAAGAAACAAAGTAGATGAGAAAATAGTCCAGCAAGTCTACCACTTGAGAATGATATCAGCAAATACTGCTGTTCTTCACTTTTTGGATGTCAAAATGAAAATACTATAGAGCTCAGCCAGAAAAATTTTGTAGAACAAAAGGTGTCTATTGCCTTGGAGGGACTTCAAGCAAGTTTTTCCAGAGAATTGTCTCAATTCAGATTTAACTAAAAAGAAAGATAAGCTTTAATTTTTCTGATTGTTATTGCAATGCAACATGTGATGCAGAAGTATAAGATTTTAAAAATATAATGCACAAGTAGATGACACTGATTAGGGACATGTTGCATGTTGGGAACAGAAAAATAGGAAAATTCCAAAATTTGTAATTAGCTACTTTAAATAAAGAGTGAAAGATTGTAGGAAGGAAATAATCAAATGCAAAAATATAGAAAGAGCAGTAGTTGTGTAAAAAAAAATCTGGGGGCTCTAGTAGTCCACAGACACACAAGGATAAAGAATGCAAAAAAACCAAAAAAACCCAAAAAACCCTTTTCTGGGCTGCATCGCTCAGAGTGTTCTGTGTGAATTTGGGAGAAATATTCACTGTTCTATTCTGTGAAAAACTGATGTCAAATGGTTGCTGCATGCTGGTTGATTAAAAAACAATTCACTTTAATGTGCAACATTTTAAGAAAGATAGAGGAGTGCAGGAGAGTGTAATAAGTAAATGATTTAGAAAGCATAACCTATGGAAATACTTGGAAGTATGGAACTTGTCTGGAAAAAAATGTAATTGGTGATTAAAGGGGTAAAACACACTGTTTTAAAACCATAATAATCAGCACTGGCACATTCCATTTAGGGAGATTGTAGAAACCCTAAAATCAGGGGGTTTATGAAATCATACATCAGACCAAGAGGAAAGGACTAGCTTG